GACAGAGTTCGGGATTCGTAGTCTTAAAAGTTCCGGGTTCGATCCCCGGCGGAGGTGGAAACAAATGGGCAGAGTTTATTTCACCCGGTCGGCCGAGCGGACAGCACGCTGGATTTGTGATCCTATGGTCCTGGGTTCGATCCCAGGCGCCGGCGAGAAACAATGGGCAGAGTTTCTTTCACCCTATGTCTCTGTTACCTAGCAGTAAAATAGGTACCTGGGTGTTAGTCAGCTGTCACGGGCTGCTTCCTGGGGGTGGAGGCCTGGTCGAGGACCGGGCCGCGGGGGATGCTAAGCCTCGAAATCATCTCAAGATAACCTCAAGAGAGATAACCTGGTAAGATTAGAGATCAAGCGGTGTCAAAGGGGGAGAGTGGATGGGTGTAGAGGGGAGAAATAGGATACCTGGTTGATGGGGTTCTGGGAGTTGTTCTACTCCCCAAGCCTGGCCTCGGGCCGGGCTTGGGGAGTAGAAGAACTCCCAGAACCCCATCAACCAGGTATCTGCATGTTCTAACTAGTTAACAACTTGCCAAATAGGCCGAGGGCTTGTCTCTGAGCCTATTGGGCACAGACACACCTCCACCTCCTCCTCCGGGCGGTGTGACGCTCCTGCTGGTGGAGGTTCCTGAGGGGAACCATTCCTTGCAACCCTCCCAGTTAGGCTAACTGGTAGTTAAGGTAATGGACTATGCTAATTGGCAAATTGCTGATGGAGATTGTTTACTGGTTACGGTAATGTCTAGAAGATGAGGGCGTCTACCAAGAGTAATGAGGAGACATCGGCGAGTGAAGACAAGCACTTAAGTGTCGTGCTGAGGCCTAAGTTCTCTTAACTAACCTCAGGTAAACTTAGGTATACTCAGGTATACTCAAGACCTTGAAAGACACCCTTCCGACCTGGCCCCAAGCCAGGTTTGGAGAGTAGAACAACCCGTAGAACCCAATCCTGGAGCATACCTGTAGAGAGTTTCCAGAGTTCTAATATTCCCCAAGCCCGGCCCGAAGCCAGGCTTGACTTGTGAGAGTTTGGTCCACCAGGCTGTTGTTTGGAGCGGCCCGAGGCCAGGCTTGACTTGTGAGAGTTTGGTCCACCAGGCTGTTGTTTGGAGCGGCCCGAGGCCAGGCTTGACTTGTGAGAGTTTGGTCCACCAGGCTGTTGCTTGGAGCGGCACGCAGGCTCACATATCCACTACAACCTGGTTGGTCCGGCACTTCTTGCAGGAACTTGTCTAAATGTTTCATGAAAAATTTACCTTTGTTCCAGCAATGTTTCTATCCTTGCTGGGAGGGTGTTGAACAACTGTGGACCTCTGATGTTCAAACAGTGTTCTCTAGTGTGCCTATGGCACCTCTACTCCTCACTGGTTCTATTCTGCATTTCTTTTCGTATGTTTCGCTCCAATATGTTGGTATTCTACTGCGTAAATTTGGGACCTGGCCCCTCTAGTATTTTCCATATATATACTCCACACTCCAGGTATACTCCAGGTATAGCTTCAATGTGTTCAAGAGGGTGCTTGATAAAATTCTCATAAGGGTTTAGGAGAATAAGGTTTATGTCATAACATAGAACGAAAAGGCAATGTAAAGGATCTGGGTGTACTCATGTCGGAAGACCTTACCTTTAAAGAACACAATAAAGTAGCCGTCACAACTGGAAGAAAAATGACAGGTTGGATAACAAGAACTTTTCACACCAAAGATGCTATACCGATGATGATACTTTTCAAAACGCTTGTGCTCTCTAGAGTGGAGTACTGCTGCACAATGACAGCCCCTTTCAAAGCTGGAGAAATTGCTGACCTGGAGAGCGTGCAGAGATCCTTTACTGCTAGAATCCACTCAGTAAAACATCTAAACTATTGGGACCGACTAAGGAGCCTAAATCTGTATTCTCTTGATCGCAGGCGGGATACATAGTAATTCATACGTGGAAAATATTAGAGGGGCTGGTCCCAAACCTGCACACAGAATTAACATCACATGAGACCAGGAGGCATGGCAGGATGTGCAGAATACCCCCGTTGAAGAGCAGAGGTGCAAGAGGTACTCTGAGAGAGAACTATCAACATCAGAGGCCCGAGACTGTTCAACACGCTTCCACTACACATAAGGGACATAACTGGCCGACCCCTCACAGTGTTCAAGAGAGAACTCGATAAACACCTCCAAAGGATACCTGATCAACCAGGCTGTGATTCATACGTCAACCTGCGAGCAGCCGCGTCCAACAGCCTGGTTGACCAGTCCATCAACCAGGTAGCCAGATCGAAGACCGTGCCGCGGAGACGTTGATCCTCGGATCTATCGCAAGGTAAGGTGGTTAAGTGTGTATTGGTTGTCTTAAAGATTACCATACATAGAAAATGTTCCTGTACATGGCGATGAAAGAGGCTGTGTGGCCGAGGTCAGGAGAGCCCTCAGCGCTCAGAGCACCGTAGCTGGGGCCGCTGAGACAGCTATTGTGCCAGCCGAAAGCTAAAATGTAGTCGTCCTTGCCGATTCTATTTCCTCCTCCAGGTCTGCACGGCTGCCTCCAAAACGTTCCATTTGGTGCAATAACACTTGCCTTCCAGACGACTGACGTTCGCTCCCTGCTATTGCCGCCCGCTCAATTGCACACGGCGTTGCAGGCTGCAGAAGCCGGGGGAGGCAAGAGGCACACGCTGCTACTCGCAGCTTGGGGGGGGAAGGTGCAACCGGTGGCGGGGATGGCTTAGTGAACGCTGCCACGGAATACTGCCACGAATTGTGTGGCAGCACAGCTCACCAAAGTAGGAATTGTTGCAGTAGACGGCAGCAGGACGGCTTGCCAAGCCGGAGTTGTTATGGCAAGGAGCGAGGTAGAATAGGGGGCGAGGAACTTTGTCGTAGTGGCCTTTGGTGGATACAAGAAGGGGTCGTAGTACTCACCTATTTGTACTCGCTTATTTGTGCTTGCTAGGGTTGAATGGCTCTTTGGTCCCGCCTTTCAACTGTCAATCAACTGGTGTACAGGTTCCTGAGCCTATTGGGCTCTATCATATCTACATTTAAAACTGTGTATGGAGTCAGCCTCCACCACATCACTGCCCAATGCATTCCATCTGTTAACTACTTTGACACTGAAAAAGTTCTTTCTAACGTCCCTGTGGCTCATTTGGGTACTCAGTTTCCACTGTGTCCCCTTGTTCGTGTACCGCCCGTGTTAAATAATCCATCCTTGTCTACCCTGTCAATTCCCATGAGGATTTTGCAGGTAGTGATCAGGTCTTCCCTTACTCTTCTGTCTTCCAGCGACGTGAGGTGCAGTTCATGCAGCCTTTCCTCGTAACTCATGCCTCTTACCTCTGGGACTAGTCCAGTGGCATACCTTTGAACTTTTTCCAGCTTCATCTTATGCTTGACAAGGTACGGGCTCCATGCTGGGGCCGCATACTGTAGTGGTCGTTGGTGGATACAAGAGACGGTCGAAGTGATCGTTGGTGGATACAACAGAGGGTCAAAGTGGTCATTGGTGGCTACAACAGAGGGTCAAAGTGGTCATTGGTGGCTACAACAGAGGGTCAAAGTGGTCATTGGTGGATACAACAGAGGGTCAAAGTGGTCGTTGATGGCTACAACAGAGGGTCAAAGTGGTCATTGGTGGATACAACAGAGGGTCAAAGTGGTCATTGGTGGATACAACAGAGGGTCGAAGTAGTCATTGGTGGCTACAACAGAGGGTCAAAGTGGTCATTGGTGGCTACAACAGAGGGTCAAAGTGGTCATTGGTGGCTACAACAGAGGGTCAAAGTGGTCATTGGTGGCTACAACAGAGGGTCAAAGTGGTCATTGGTGGATACAACAGAGGGTCGAAGTGGTCGTTGATGGCTATACTTACTGTTTGATTTGGTGTTGTGGTGGCCGTGTTGTCCACCATACCAGCTGGTGTTGTGGTGGGCGAAGAAAAGGAAGTAAGGAAGTAAGGAAGGAAGGAAGGAAGGCAGGCATGAAGGAAAGTTACCTATAGCAGTACTGGTAAATGTGGAACACATTACCGCGCGCCTCGCCCCACCTGATATCAGCTAAGTGATTGAGATGCTCTCGCTGGAAGAGCCTCGTCAGAGTGGATGCTGCTGAGGCGCTCTGCTGGTGAAGGACTTTGAGCGGAAAGTTAAAAAAAAAAAAAAAACGCTGGTAAAAGGATTGAGTGCGGGAGTATCGCCTTACCAAACACATTGAATTACAAATTCGCCCAAGTGACTTGTCGAGTCAGTGATCCTACCGAGAATTTTTTACAGAATGGTTAGAGGGGAACATGATCACCACATTCAAGATTCTCAAGGGAATTGATAGGGTAGATAAAGACAGGCTATTTAACACAAGGAGCACACGCACTAGGGGACACAGGTGGAAACTGAATGCAGTGAGTGAAGGAACTTGTGTTAATCCAAAACGCTGCCTTCATTCTTATTGAAGTGGAGCTTAAGCTGTGTGAGAGTGCCAGTGCCAAGCTGTGAAGGTGCCAGTGCCAAGCTGTGAAGGTGCCAGTGCCAAGCTGTGAAGGTGCCAGTGCCAAGCTGTGAAGGTGCCAGTGCCAAGCTGTGAAGGTGCCAGTGCCAAGCTGTGAAGGTGCCAGTGCCAAGCTGTGAGTGCCAGTGCCAAGCTGTGAGTGCCAGTGCCAAGCTGTGAAGGTGCCAGTGCCAAGCTGTTTAGGTGCCAGTGCCAAGCTGTGAAGGTGCCAGTGCCAAGCTGTGAAGGTGCCAGGGCCAAGCTGTGAAGGTGCCAGTGCCAAGCTGTGAGAGTGCCAGTGTCAAGCTGTGAAGGTGCCAGTGTCAAGCTGTGAAGGTGCCAGTGCCAAGCTGTGAGAGTGAGTGCCAGTGCCAAGCCGGTGAAAGTGCCAGTGCCTGCTGGGGGATTGTTTGCAGTGTTGCAAGTCCTCACTATGGTTGCCCAGGTCGAGTGGCTTGTTATTGGTACTACTGTAGACGCCTCCCCGGTCAGGACTTAGGCTCGTAACATTGATATTGCAAAGGTCATTGCAGAAGGTTTCCTGCAATGTGGTTCTCTTCGTGTACATTGTATGGTGGGCCCAGGTGGCTGAGACGAGGGCCCCCAGGTGGCTGAGACGAGGGCCCCCAGGTGGCTGAGACGAGGGCCCCCAGGTGGCTGAGACGAGGGCCCCCAGGTGGCTGAGACGAGGGCCCCCAGGTGGCTGAGACGAGGGCCCCCAGGTGGCTGAGACGAGGGCCCCCAGGTGGCTGAGACGAGGGCCCCCAGGTGGCTGAGACGAGGGCCTCCAGGTGGCTGAGACGAGGGCCCCCAGGTGGCTGAGACGAGGGTCCCCAGGTGGCTGAGACGAGGGCCCCCAGGTGGCTGAGACGAGGGCCCCCAGGTGGCTGAGACGAGGGCCCCCAGGTGGCTGAGACGAGGGCCCCCAGGTGGCTGAGACGAGGGCCCCCAGGTGGCTGAGACGAGGGCCCCCAGGTGGCTGAGACGAGGGCCCCCAGGTGGCTGAGACGAGGCCCCAGGTGGCTGAGACGAGGGCCCCCAGGTGGCTGAGACGAGGGCCCCCAGGTGGCTGAGACGAGGCCCCCGGCTAGCTGAGACGAGGCCCCCCCCCCCCAGGTGGCTAAACGAGTTAAAGAGACTCTGTGTAATGAAAGATGTTTCTAATGGCAATAAGAGAGTAGATCTTGGTGAGTTAAATTTGTGGTTGTAGTTGAACCGGAACGTGAATACATGTTACCTGCTTTGGCGATTTTAATAATTATGTGACCTGTGTTTGGCTGTTTCCAGGGTTTTTTCCCCGTTACAATATTATTGTTATTCTCCATTTTTAAACTGGTAAGATTAAAGTCTCCAAGGAAGATCATATCACGCAAGACGTGTTAGGTTGTTCTTGAGGAGGGAAAGGGTCGTTCTGTGTGCCTTAAGTGAGCAAAGTAAGTGATTCTTGTAGAAGTACGTAGGCAGCTGTAGACAGCTGTGGTAGTAGAGTGTATGTTAAGCCAAGAAGTTGCGAGGAGTGACACAGGGAACCAAGACCGCTTCACAGGAGTAACAAGCAAGTAACGATCACTCAGGAGTGACCGCGCAAGAGTTACGAGTCCTGACCGCTACAGAATTCGCGAAATCGCCTGAATTTAACGGCCAATAAAAGCGGCAGCGAAAGTCGCCCAGGATTCTATAGGAATTTGACGTTCTAAAGACATTTTCAGCCACTCGAATCATATCAAAGTATCTGGGCATAATACTTTATGGTGGAAGTTTGGAGTCCTTTGATTGCCACGGCAACCACCATTGCCACTTGACCAGTCCAGCAACTAGGAGGCCTGGTCGACGACCGGGCCGCGGGGACGCTGAGCCCCGAGAACACAAGGTAACCATTAGCATTAGTTGCAATAACTGTTTCTGTGACCTGACAAATTAGTTTAATAGATGTTTCCTGTCGCTGCCTGTGTTTAAAAGTCCTGTAGAGTGGCCTGCGTACCCATACTCACCTTTACGACACGCGAATTTACGCACCTCTCGTAGCAATCCGGACTTACGAGCGTCGGAAGAGACCCGTATTTACGAGGCGCGGAAAATGCCTGCCTCGTTGTGAGTTATGCTGTGAATTGTTTCTTTCTCACATGTGCTTCCTCATCTCCCCCCCCCCTCCCTGCACTATAGACGCACTCGTAGTATCACGTACTTAAGTGCTGCTTTAGCACGTGCTTAAGTGGTGTCAGTAGCGAAGGTCCCCATAAGGGCCTCCAGGATACAACTCTGAGACAGCACTTGTCTATCGAGTACCTGTTTACTGTGTGATGAACAGGTGCATCAGGCGAGAGGAAATGTTGCTGGACGTTTCTGTCCTGGCGGAGGAGTCGAACCCGGGAACTTTCTGTTGTGACTCGAGTGCGCCAAACACACTGCCAATTACGAAAATTGGGCTGCACAGTAACTGGCCAGCAAGGAAAAATAAGTCCAAGTGATCTGTCGCTTGGTGTAACTGTGGTTTAAATTGTCCATGGTGTTGTTTGGGGACCATTCAAACCCCTATTTCATAAGCAGGTGGAAGAGGGGAGATATCATATCTGCTCTCCCTGACCCCCTCTTCCACCACCCTCACCCTCTTCCCCTCTCCCACCCCTCCCTCCCCAGCCCATCATATTTCTCCTCGCAGTTAGACAATTCGTCATGATATCTGGCAGTGTTGTGATATTGCAGTCGCGGGCGTGGGTAGGAGGTGGGGTGGGGACGTAGCGAAGAAGGGGAAAAGGGAGAGGAGACGTAGGGGAAAGAGGGAGGGGAGGGGACTGAGCCTAATATATGGCGCGACTGCTTAGTCTTGTGCTATGCAGGATATATATTAATATTAACTTCGGCATTCGGCTGTAGATCAGCGTCTTTCGTCCCCCCTTGTGTCAGCACGGATATTGGACCCCAGATGGGACCCCCATGCCTGTACACACACACACTCACACTCACACACTCACACTCACTCTCACTCTCACTCTCACTCTCACTCTCACTCTCACTCTCACTCTCACTCTCACACTCTCTCTCTCTCTCCTTCCTCCCTAATGATTAGATGGGTCACCAGTTTAATGTTTATCTGTTCTCTCTGTGTTATCGCTATGTGTGGATAACCAGTTCAACTGGTTATATAGAGACAGCCAGTTGAAAGAGAAGTCCAGCCTTGTCTATAACCTTTGACGGATTGTGGAAGCTACTTTCTCTTCCAGTTCCAGCGCTTTCTTTTTTTTTCTCCTGTTTCCTCTCTAGCTCTAGTTCTCCTCTTTCACTCAATGTTGTTTGTCTCTTTACTCCTCTGCCTCTTATTCTTTTCCTTAAGTCTATTCTCTTCACCTTCCATACCCTTCATCCCTCTCCTCCTTTCATCTCTATCTCCTTTTATGTATCTTTCCCATTCTCCTCTCACATCTGATTCTTCAGGTATGCACTCACCCCACCTACATACCAAGCTACCTTCCCACCTACTTACCTTCCCACCTATTTACCTTCCCACCTATTTACCTTCCCACCTATTTACCTTCCCACCTATTTACCTTCCCACCTATTTACCTTCCCACCTATTTACCTTCCTATCCCATCTTCCCACCTATCTTCCCCACGTTACATGAACTGGAGAGTCGTGAAGCGGCTTCGTAGATGGGCCACGAGGCCAGGCTCGGGGCGTAGAAGAACTCCGTGGTGTAGTGGTAAGACACTCGCCTGGCGTTCCGCGAGCGCTATGTCATGGGTTCGTATCCTGGCCGGGGAGGATTTACTGGGCGCAATTCCTTAACTGTAGCCTCTGTTTAACGCAACAGTAAAATGTGTACTTGGATGAAAAAACGATTCTTCGCGGCAGGGGATCGTATTCCAGGGACCATAGGATTAAGGACTTGCCCGAAACGCTACGCGTACTAGTGGCTGTACGAGAATGTAACAACTCTTGTATATATCTCAAAAAAAAAAAAAAAAAAACTCCAGAAACCCTCTTCAGGTATCTCCAGGTTAGCGCCTCTGTCTCTTATCTTGGCTACCGCTTGCACAATCTCTGCTGAGGCTTTATAACTAAGCCTTAGGTCGCCCAGTTTGCTACGTTGTTGGACTCTGAAGGCTTCGCTAGAAATGTTAAGGATATCCTCAGTCTGTTCTAGAGTGGTTCGCTGACTTCGTAGAAGAATGCAATGCCTTAAAAGCACTAAATGTTGTGTCAGACGTTGCTGAGTTGTGACTCATACGTCAGGCTGCGAGCAGCCACGTCCAACAGCCTGGTTGACCAGTCCAGCAACGAGGAGGCCTGGTCGACGACCGGGCCGCGGGGACGCTAAGCCCCGGAAACACCACAAGGTAACCTTAAGGTAAGGAGTTGCCTCTCCGGAAGGGCGTAGCACTGCTTCAAGGAATGATTACCGAGAGCGAAGGAACAATCCGTCCTCCTAAGGTTCCCCAACGTCCAGGAAACGGTCAATTTAAACTGGTCTCTCCTAACCTGCCAGAGGACCCAAAACAGAAAACGGGACAGTACGTCACTTTCGCCAGCCGCTTCCATTTCCTAGTACTGTACGACAATTTTTGGCCTTAGGTAACGCATACGGAGGAAATGCGACGTTATTTATAAGAGGACAGGTTGATAGAAGAGTGGGTGGGTGTGGGACGAGGAGAGAGCTATACCACTACATCTTAAGGGTCATCCGGAGAGTTTCAGACCCAGACAACACAACGCGGAGTCACCAAAGCTTCAACCCTCAAGCGTAATCCAGGTGGATTTTATGAGTCTGAATATACAAATAGGTCGAGAATAGCAGCATCAGCTGGAGGAGGAGGCTTGGATGAAGCTTCAACAAAACTGTAGTTGTTCTCAGAGTACTGTTCCCCCCCCCCCTTGTGGTACTTGAGGGAATCTTAGGTAATACGTAACATGGTTCTGGAGAGATGACCTCGTTTAAATTGCATTTAGGTTTGACAAAGGGCGTTTTATGTACCATTATGGGCAGGCAGTCTCATCGCTCCATCATTAAAAGTCGAGGACTTGACGTGAGAGGCTTTATCTAAGAATGTGGCGAGGAATGGGTCGTCTCCTTGCCAAGTTGAATAGTGTGCAGCGCGTGCTAGCTGGTGATGGCATCGTTCTCTTCAGTGAAACCTTTTGCTTGAAGGAGCCATGTTTGGGTGCCTTAATGCAAAGTCACTCAAGCCCTCGGGCTCACGGGGCACAATGCTGGAAGACCTCAAGTGGCACAGTGCTGGAAGACCTCACAGGGTACAGTGCTGGAAGACCTCACAGGGCACAATGCTGGAAGACCTCACAGGGCACAATGCTGGAAGACCTCACAGGGTACAGTGCTGGAAGACCTCACAGGGCACAATGCTGGAAGACCTCACAAGGCACAATGCCGGAAGACCTCACAGGGCACAATGCTGGAAGACCTCACAGGGCACAATGCTGGAAGACCTCACAGGGCACAATGCTGGAAGACCTCACAGGGCACAATGCTGGAAGACCTCACAGGGCACAATGCTGGAAGACCTCACAGGGCACAATGCTGGAAGACCTCACAGGGCACAATGCTGGAAGACCTCACAGGGCACAATGCTGGAAGACCTCACAGGGCACAATGCTGGAAGACCTCACAGGGCACAATGCTGGAAGACCTCACAGGGCACAATGCTGGAAGATGCTGGAAGACCTCACAGGGTACAATGCTGGAAGACCTCACAGGGTACAATGCTGGAAGACCTCAAGGGGCCACAATGCTGGAAGACCTCAAGGGCCACAATGCTGGAAGACCTCAAGGGCCACAGTGCTGGAAGACCTCAAGGGCCACAGTGCTGGAAGACCTCAAGGGGCACAGTGCTGGAAGACCTCAAGGGTCTGAGTACCTGTAGGGATCCCTGGAAAGGGGTCTGATTACCTGTAGAAGTACCTGGAAGAGGTTCTGAGTACCTGTAGGGGTACGTACCGACCTCCTCCTCTCCACCTGACAGCGCCCGGGGCTGGCCAGGCCGGCCTCGGAGACGCCAATTGTCTGTTGAATCAATTTCCTGTATTGCCTCCGCTGTCATTTATGCTGATCGTGAGGTGGAGCTCAATAGGAAATTATCAGAGTTTCAATTGATTTGTAACAATGATGTAGAGTTGTGGGTGGGAGGAG